AAAAAAAAAAAAAAAAAAAAAAAAAAACTGATTTGCTGTTCGGAAATAAAATTTCTGGCTCATTGTCAGTTTAGAGACAACATATTGGCTCCAACAGCATATAGTCCAATGAAAATATCGAAATTGAATTGCAATTTGATATCAATAAAATTGTGCTTTTTTACCACTAAATTGCAATATTTTGACATCATATAGTCAAGTAAAGCCGATTTTAAACAATCACAAAAATGAGCTTCAAATGTCAGAAAGATAGGCAATATGCAATGCAAAGAAAAGTTGCAACTTATTTTAATTTTATTGCAGTACGTTTCAATTGATGGGGCCCCTTCAAATAGGAGCTAGGCAACATACACAACACTCAGTGAAATTGCAATATTTTTCCTGTGCAATTGCTACTTATTGCAATCTGTGCTACTCGAGTTACCCGCTGTGTAATTATTTTTATTATTGTATATCTTGTCTCGGACAAAAACGAAAAATCATGAAAAAATGTCATTTGTTCTATTGTAAAACTAGCACTATTTTGAAATCTTATATTACTTCACATTCTTATTTCTAAAGAAGAATTGAAATCTTTTTTATAAATCTTAAATTTACTGCACTTTCTGCCACATTAGAAAAAAAAAGTTAGACATAACTCTTTAAAACTGTGATTAAGGACTGGCTTATTAATTTTTCATTCTAGATGTCTACTTACACCAAGCTTAAATCTTCCTAAACGTAGAAGAAGAAAAGATTCTTGGAAAAAGGCCTTACTTTTCGTACATCCAGTTGACGATGGACTCGGTGGAGTTCCAGCAGTTCATGTTGACCTCGTCGCCGCCCATATGGAAGAGATCCGAGTCGAACAACTCGTGCATCTCGGAGTAGATGTCGCTAAGGACGTTGTAGACCTTGCTCGAGACGGGGTTGAGCTGTCCGCAGGGTGGCTCCACGCAGTAGCTCTGCCAGGGCTCCGCGTGGAAGCACACCACGTAGTCCTCAGGGCCATCCCCGGGCTGGGCGATGTAGGACCATCCCTCGCCGACGTGGGCTGGTGCGTCGAATTCCGGAACGATCCGGATTCCGCGTACTTGGGCGTAGTGAACTAGTGAGCGGATGTCGTCGTGGGTGTACACCTGGAAATGGAATATTAATGAGACTATACATTTTGCAAAATTGGACTATTTATGTGCTGGTTACACGCTCAAATTCCCATCAATTTCCGATCAAATGGTGACTGTTGCGCACCATCTACCGTCAAATTTCTGCGGCCTGCAAACATTTGATGGGATATGATGGAACTGTGGGGCTCATCCTTCATCTGATGTCCACACAACCGCGCTTATTTCATACATACATATAAGTCGCTTTACAGCACTCCCTCGCGCTCTACGACTCCTAACCTCCACTGCTCTCTTTCAAACCACAAATCTTGGGGGATTGAGCACCTTAACATTTCCGCTTCAATCCTTTCCCTCCAACCTTTCATTGGGCGCCCTCTGCGTCTTCTCCCAGGAGGAACCCAGTCAAGGACCTTATTTCATGCTTGTTTCAATCAACACGCTGTTTTAATTAATGTTACTCATCAATCTAAAGAACTCTCGACCGCCATCTTGGTCATAATTTTGATTGGAATTTAAAGGAAATTTGAGGGTATGACCAGGCCATTAGGTATGCTAAAAGAAACCAGAGACGGGTGGAAAAGGAGTAGGCTTGTTAGTTGGGGGCCGTAAGAATAAATGCCCTGGTAAAATGGTCCTATGGGAGCCTGCAGAGAAATTCCCATTGGAACCCGTACGGGCCAACGGGTCCCCACTGGCAATGCGCGATGGTTCCCATTGAGGCCCATAGGAATTTCATGGATCCCATTGGGCCCCTATAGGTTCCTGTCGGATGCCATGAACCACCTATTCGTCCCCATTGGGATTTCGTGAATCCTATTGGGCGCCCATAGGAACCTGATGGGTACCCAGTGGAATCTAATAGGTCCCTATAGAACTGTTTTACCAATGCACCAATGACGTCAGCGTCGGCTCCCAGTACAGCATTTTTCATCGGAAAAATCGCGATGTTTTGAAATTAAGGTGGGATTTTTTCACAATTTTTTGGCGACAAAATCGCTAGGATCATCAAAATTCGAGCGATTATCTTCAATCTTGCCAAAATTATATCTCTATGAAATCGCATTCGGTAAAACCTAAATTTTATTTTAATTTATCACGATTCTTTGTTCGATAATATTGCGATAAATTGCCGTCGATTAAATCGCGATTTTATTGACTCCGTTCTTTCCTTCTCTCTGTATTCTATTTTTCTGTCTCCTTTTTTCAGGCGAACGGGGGAACGTACGGCGTGCGTCCCTTATGGATCCGCCAAAGGCAAGTCCTACTGACCCAAAATGGCCATTATTACCATGGTCTGGGCCAGGTTAGAGGCTGTCCCTAAATTACTTGATAAAATTTTTCGGCACCCCCCCCTCCTTCTCCTCCTCTGTGTAACGCTTTTATGACGTAGGTCCTCACCCTGTAACAAGTAAAAACAAAATGGCGTAAGACTATCCTCAACCCCCCCACCCCTTAGAGCGTTACGTAATTTAGGTTTGTCCCCTTACGAAAAATTGGCATCATGCTTACCTTCTTCTTATCATAAGCACCGTACTGAGTGAGTTGGGGGTGAGATTTGAGCTCGAACGGGAAGCTGTGCGAGTCGGTGATGTGCCAGTGGAAGGTGTTCATCTTGCTGGCGGCCAACCCGTCGATCAGACGCTTCAGAGCCTCCACCGAGAAGAACGTCCTGGCTGTGTCGAGGAGGACTCCTCGATAGGGGTAGGAGGGTCTGTCGGTGATCCCGACCGCACTGGGCACGATCAGAGAGCCGGTGACGTCATCGTATGTGATGAGCTGTAACAGCGTCTCCAGTCCCCGGGCGGCTCCTGGGTAGGTGAACGCGTTCACCAGGGCTGTCACAGCCTTTGGTCATTCATGGAAAATATTAAAGGTCTGTTGAATTCAAGATATATAAGCAACAAATGGACGTATTTCTGCCAAACGGAACTAAGTGCATTATGACGTGAGCCCTGTGATACATACAGTCTTATGGGTCTCAGGGATCATGTCTTAATGCACATAGTTCCGTTTGACAGAAATACGTCCAAATGAAAGCTACAATGGGTCACTAAACCTCGTGTTTTTTTTTTATTTAACTAGGGGGTCTGCCCCTCCCCGGGGCGCTGCGCGCTGAAAAAAAATCTCGGTGTATTTACTAAGATAAGGGTAAAATTACCAAGAATTCAGGGTTCTATTTGATCCCAGTTTTTTCTTGGTAAAATTACCATTTATGGAATTGGTAATTTTACCGAGAAATCTCGGTAAAATTATTGAACTTTCTCGGTAATTTTACTGGACCTCGGTAAAAACGCCGATATACTTTATCGACTGTGGTAGAATCACCGAGATAAAATGGCAAAGTTACCGGGAATTGATTACCAATAAAAGTTGTATTCTTACCTGAAAAAAAAAACAGTAGAAATACCGGTTTTTAGTAAGCTTACCAGTCTGTCTCGGTAAAATGACCAATAATTGGTAAAAAAAAATTAGATGGCAAAGGTTACCAATGGACCTCGGTAAAAACGCCGAGAATTTTTTTTCAGTGCGCGCCCCCAAAAGCCGCTTCGCGGCTAGCGAAATCGTCGAAATCGCCCGTTGGCGGTTAAGGTGATTCGATGGACGCTATATTATGTGTCAGAATGACATGCGATACATCGCATCGATTAATTCCATTTTCTCAGCTACCTGTCATTTTTTTCGAACTTGAGATCGCAATTCTGTTGTCAGAGACTAAAGAATTCATTTATTGATTTTGACAAACAAATTCAACTTAAAAAGGGCGCGTTTTTTAGAGGAGAAATATCGCATTCGATACTGATATCGAAACTTCATTCGAATGCGAGTCCGCTTTTAAAAAGTCCGAAGACTCAAGGAATCTCAATCGCGCCAGAATGGCGGCAAAATCGTAGAAGTGATGTACTACGGCGGTCAAATCGCTATCTCCTCCCATTTTCCACTGACTTTTGTAAGTAGAAGAAATACGTATTTCACTGAGTGCGTAGACAATTGGTCCTACTAATTGTCACTTGTCCCTTTAGCAGGAGGGTAGGTATATTAATTTACTTTCTTCTTTCGCAATAAAAGCACAGGAAAAGTATTTATTTATTTTTTTTTTTTAGTGGCGTGGAGATTCAACAATTTGATTTAAAATTGCAGATACCTGACTAAGTACTTACCGAATTCTTTTCCTTGGAAACGGTGAGCTCGTAACTTTCGTCGGTGTCTTGGGTGAATGTTGTCACATTCGTCCGGGCCAGGACGACGGTGACCACAAAATTATGCCCAGGGTCTTTCAGCGCTGGCTCGCCTTTTAAGTTCAAAAATATGTTCCGGATAAACACTTGCCCCAATTCGTGAAGTAGCGCGTTGGTTTTAGGCGGCAAGACTGTAATGAGAATGAAATATTAGTTTCATTAATTTTTAACACGATCAAGAAGGGAGGGAAGGAGAAGTAAAGTGGGATATCATTCCGATACTAATTGCGGAGTAAAAAGAAGGAATGTAGATTCAGATGGTACTGGTTAAACATTTTTAAGGTATTTGTCAACTATCGATCTGTTCAAATATTACTAAAATTAAGTCAGTTAAAATCATTAGGGTTAATATTTTTATATTTGTGGTCCCCTGTGTATTTAATTAATAAAAAAAAAGAATTAATGATTTGAAGTTGTTAATTTTTCTGGAAAAATACCTTTTAATAGGGGGAAAGTTCAGTCCTCCTTACTGCCGTGTTAAGAAAAAACGTCGTATGAATATTCGAGGGTTTCCAAATTTCCTTCGATAAAACATTTATTTTCGAGGAGAGCTATGAATATTTTTCCTTGAATCTCATAGGAACTTAAGGTGATATTGTGAACAAAATTATCTGAAAAATTGGCAGAAAAATATTTAAGAATTTTCCCTAGAATTTGTGATTTACGGAAGGAAATTCGGCAACACCTGATGGTTCGTGCGACGTTTTTCCTTAGCACGGTAGCTGAACTGACTTACTTTTGGCTAAAGATAAAAAAAAATGGTCGCCGACACGGAGGAATAAAAATCGTTGCTCCAAAAATGCCCATTGAGGATTCTAGGTCCAGTCGCAGTTAATGTTACAATGTACGTGGTAACGATGCAGCACGATGGTCTTGCGGACTAAACTATTTTTTTTAAAAAAGTATCACAGTAATTTCGAGTGGAAAAGTACGATCGCAGAATTACTTCGATCGAAAATTACTCGTGAGCTTTAATAGATGAGCGATTTTTTCTCTTCGCAGAACACGAGAAAATTCTTGTGAACCCTACCCTGGTAAAAATTGGCGATAGGAGCTGCGTTTCAAAATGCCATAGAATTTCTTACAGCCGACTGAAGAAGGCGATAGAAAATCATGTAGCTGCCTGTAGAAAGTGGGAAAAATCATACGGCCGGGCTACACGAAGCGATAAAAAATTATACAGCCGGGCTATAGTTCCTATCGCCGGGCTTTACACTTCATCGCCGGGCTGTTGCTTTTTCGCCATCGGCTATAAAAGGCTATAAGAAATTGTGTCGAAATTCTTGTGCTTTGTAAATCCTTAAGTTTGCACGGAATCACCTTAATATTTACAAAACACACATTATATATTTTCATTTACTACATATTTTTTTCTCATCAATTAAAATAAGAATAATCCATATAGGGTGTGCACTGTGCAAACATTTCAAAGTCATGAGTTGAAAAACGCTGACTCCGCGAGATTAAATATTAGAGCCTAACACAAAGCGAAGCGGCGGCGCACTGGCGCCTACAAACCTAACAGGGATACTTCACGCATTGCGCAATGCGTGAAGTATCCCTGTTAGGTTTGAAGGCGCTAATGCGCGTTCAGCGTTGGCTGCCCGCCCGCCGCGCCGCAGCGTACCGCGGCGCTTGAAGCAACTATTTCACATCAGAGGTATTGCACAGTATCATACGAAACTGAAGGCGCTACAACATGTTAGGAATGGCAGGCATCCTTCAAAAGTACGGAGCTTTCCTCGCAAATTAAATCAAGATACTGCGGCCCAAAAAGAGAGCGGGATGTCCAAAAACTCACAGAGTCCTAGCATCCGTAATTAGTAACGTTTGGCATACACTTTATCGCCAGGCTGTTGCTTAGTCGCCATCGGCTATAAAAGGCTATAAGAAATTGTGTTGCGGGCTATAGAAGCTATTGGAAATCTTATAGCCGGCTGTAGGTCTATGGTATTTTGGAATACAGATTCTACGGCCAATTTTTACCAGGGAATGCTTTTTCTTGCAATTGTTTTCACATTCATCACTACGCGGGAAAAATGGATTGCTGATTTAACAAGTAAATTGCTAAAAATATGTCCGACATGTTTCAAATGTATATTGTACAATAGTAACCAGGGGGGGTGGTTAAATTAGCATTTTTTTATTGTAAAATCTGCATTGAAAGATGTCAGACACTTTATTTAGCTACCTACAAAATTGTGAAATCAGCAAATTCATTTCTTCCCGTGTACTGGGGTTTGATATTTCATTAACGACCATAGGAAATCTTACCTTGGCCAGGCATGCTCTGAAAGTAGATGCTGTTAGGGTTGATACTGACGACATCCGAGCTGACTTGGATGTAACCAGAGGGTTTCGGCCAAAGCGTACCGTACGGCGCGCAAGTCAGTTTACATGTGTTTTTGCTGAGCAACTTCTCCCCTGCAGTTGCATTAACGGACTTCGCTGCGATTTTGACGCATTTCCCAGCTTGGCATCGCCATGACCAAACTGACCTGTAACAGTCGAAACACATAGTTAAGATGCTAAAAATTTCTTTGAGAAAAGTGGTCGCGAGCATCATAGATAGTGCTTTAATCATGCCATCATTGAATCCACACTGATCTTAAAAACCAAACTCTCGAAGCTATCACGACAGCTTCGGGATTTTCGAAGCCCCTTGCTTTGCCTTTTCGTAGGCAATTTTTCTTACAGTTCCTGCAGTAATAATTGCCTACCTAGAGAGGGGCTTCGAAAATCTGAAAGTTTTTCAAAGCCCTGTTGTGTCGAAATAACGCGTTGCTGGAAAATTTTGTGCATACTTTGTAACCTGGTTTATTCCCGCTCTTTCACGTGCCGCAATCCGTTTTTCCATACATCATCTTCCAAAAAAGTTATCGCAATTTTAAAGTTCGCGAACGCCCTTCACGTCATTTTCCGAAGACGTAAGTCGGTGAGAATACAAAATGAACAGTACACTAAAAAATACCCCCCCCCACACACACAAGGTTTCAGCTCCTCACGACAAAATAACGAAGACTTACAGATATTTGAAAGGAAAAAAATGGCAACTTTGAAAGCGCATAGCTCACTTATGAAGCGTTTTCGGGCACATGTGTATAGATAAAAAAAGTCGTATTTTGTACAAAAAAATTGATCCTGAAAATTAAGTACGTTCCGAACACTCTGTATGTACGTCAAAAATCGTATTTTTCGTCCCATCGAGCACGGCAGGCCCGTCTTAGTCGAAAGGGGTCGGAAAATTCCTTAAAAAATGTACTCAGTTTTCAAGAATTCATCCGCGTTGTGTGCTATTTCTATACTAATAAAGCAGACTTCACGTTGATTGACTCACTCACTGACTGACTGACTGACTCACTCACGTATCAGCGGATCTCGTGAACGGGAGGCCGTG